TCTCATACATCTGGCGTGACTCTCACGCTTTCAGACTCTCATACATCTGGCGTGACTCTCACACTTTCAGACTCTCATACATCTGGCGTGACTCTCACACTTTCAGACTCTCATACATCTGGCGTGACTCTCACGCTTTCAGACTCATACATCTGGCGTGACTCTCACGCTTTCAGACTCTCACACTCTGGGAGCCCTTCAGTCGGTGCAGGTAACCTGTGACACGTGTTATTAATGGCTCTCCGGTGGCTGAGCACCGAGGACTCGTGCTGCTCTACTGATGCAGCGAGATGGCTGATCCTCACTGTGCTGATCTGCTTAATTATCACCTGACGGCCTCACTGTGACAGCGCAGGGGCTATTTTGCTATGCATCCTGCCCACCAGCCCTCCCCGATCTGACGATTGAGGATGCCGGAGCATTTAGGCATGAGTGTGTGTGTATGTGTGTGTGTGTGTAGCTTTAGGGTCGGGGCGGACATTGGCACCCATTTCTTCTGACACAGCAGGATTCTTAAGTGAAGCATCTCATTCTGCTCCTGCTTCTGTGAGGCTCTAAAGATAGCTCACTCCACCCTGCACCCCCCCCCCCGCCAGCACCACCCACACACACCCCCTCAGACACACAGGCGTAGGCATTGAGTGCACACAGCGCATACAGAGCAGCCTGCTTGCTAGTCAAGATGTACAGTGTGTGTGGAGTCAAAGGGATGTATCATCCGGGTCAGCATTACAATATGATTGGGGGGGGGGGCGTCATCATGGGGGAGGGTAGGGTGAGTTAAGTCACCACTCAATTTATCCACCTGTGCTTTATTACCCATAATATAACAATGTTTTCTCTTCTGGAATCCCAAATCAGACTGTCCGTTGCGCTCGTTTTGATTTTCCCGTATGCCCCTTCGGCTGAAGCCAAACTGGCTGGTTGCGAAGACTACTGCTCGTCTACCGCTCTTCTGCTGCTCTTCTGCGCTCCCCATCCCTGTCTCGCATGCTTTAGAGCTTGGATCATGGCGATATACACAATCAGATCCTTTCAAGCTAATTTTTGTCATTGCGTCAGAAGATGGATTCTAAGATCAGTAGAAGGAAAGCAGTAACTGAGCCACAGAGATTCTGCTTATTTATCGTAACGGAAATTTCATGTGTCCATGTAAACTGTCTCCTGCCACGTCTGCTCCAGGCAGAGTCCTGCACGGGTCCACTTTTGGAGACCTGCACCCGCTCGCACCCGCACAGTACAGCACCACACCCGCCCGTGCACCGTGATTATTTCAAAGTTAAATCCGCACCCGCCCGGGCCCATTAACATTCCACCCATTACTCGCCCGTATCCATGATAAATTACACACAATTATTTTTTCTATGCACCTCTCAACGTGACAAGCGCTAGGCCTACATAAATTTTTAATTGAAACGAAAAAGTCCGTTTAACACAAAATCAAATCAGATAGATCTAAGCTATCCATACTGTGACGAGCGTGAAAGAGAGAACACGACGACACGCTTCAGCAAGGATTCAGACGTGTATGTGAATGTTTGTCGAGGCGGTTATCTAAGGTACCCCCGGACATACTGAACACACTGTGATGATGACAATTTGT